CGTCCTTTTGAAGCGTGTGAACTAGTGTTAACTAACTAACTAACCGAGCACTAGTTAAAGCGCTTCAAAGGGACAGTCGGTTAGCACTAGTTTACGAGCTTCAAAAGGACGGTTAGAACTAGTTCACACGCTTCAAAATGACGGTTAGAACTAGTTCACACGCTTCAAAACGACGTCTATTTCTCAATTTCGGTTGTCAAGAAAAACACAACAAGTCATTCATGTGATCATTCATTGAAACTTTGACTCTCACTCGAATAAAGTCGCTTACGATTATTTCTCAACTTCGGTTGTCAAGAAAAACACAATAAAGTCGATCGCAATAACACGAGTCTTCCTGGTCATATCAATAATAGTTAATATTAACYATGTATCAAGTGATGTCAATCAAAATGTTTACCCTGATATGACTCAAGGGAGTTCAATGCTGTCAATCATTTGCGTTTGATAGTTCTTTGTCTTTGGTCTAGCCAATCAGTGTTAGCGAAAATAAGTTAATGATGCATATCCTATAATGTATTCCTGAAATTATACCGATCTTTGAAAATCACTCAACTGTAAGAACAATAGAATAGAACAATAGAATTCTGCCCGATGGTGTCGTATTTTGGGTACGAACAGCCACTTTATCTAGCTAATGTAAAGTCCTGGAACTATGTGATTTTTTTAATAGACACATTAGATAATTTGCTTCAAAATTCTAAAGTTCCATTAAAGGCACATATTCTTGCTTATTTTTTATTTTGGTTTTAAAGCATCATCTCTATTGTCACAATATATCTATTTTTGACTTTATACAGCTTCATCTTATTAGATTTTGATTCTTTTTATCGAATCAAAGCAATAGCTATCTAATATTAGTAAGGAGGTCTTATCTCTTGTTGTATTGATGGGTTGCAAGCATTCCCAAGAGAGTTAAAAGACAAAAACATGGCGGCCATTGTGGTACCGTTAACAATGGATGCTAATGAGAGATCTTTTGTTAAATAGTACCATGCACATGGCCGCGATGACGTAACGTGCGAACGAAGAATATACACCTTTTGCTGTTCATTAACAGAAAATGTACATTCATTTGTGCCAATAGTTGTATCAATA